AACGAACAACGACGAACAATAACTACAACTACTATATATATATATATATATATATATATATATATATATATACACATTCACAATCACATACAGCAGTAGCTAGTCAAAGACTTGAATTCACATCCAGCAAATGTCACTACTTAACTTACTAGTATCTCAGAAATAGTTAGTCATAAACTTATAACCACTTTAAACAAAAACTGGAGTATTAAATATTTTTATGCAGAAACTTTTTCTTGAGACACTGAACGAGTAAATTTATCCAATCAGAGATAGCCCTACTTAGGTCAAATACAAGTTCTGTAAAGATAGCACCCAGGCTCCAAGAAAACGAAAGTCAAAAGAAATCAAACCAATATGTTTTTTTTTTCCTGACAGTCCCAGAAAAGAACAATAGTGATAATGATCCAGGCACAAAGAAAAAGAAGTTTGATCATGATCACTCGAGAACTGTTAAGGCTCAATGGTTCAAGGACTTTAAATGGTTAGTAATGAGGGACAATCTGCTGAAATGCTCTGTGTGCATTGAAGCAAAAAAAAAGACATCTTTACAAAGTCAGATACTTAATCTCACCTACAAAAAACACTAGGAACAGACTTGCAATCACCTGTATTAGATCTGCCAGAAATAAGTTTGCAATAATCAGAGACAACGTTTATTAATACTACATTTACAAACACCCGAAACAGCAGCCATTACTGGCTCTACAACAACCTGCAGGAACAATCAGGCATAGACTTATTACTAGCTGCAGCAAAAAGCAGTCAAGCCCCATCAAATTTAACAAGAAACAAAAACTTTCCACCATTAGTAGTAACAGTCAATGACATCAAAACACACCATGAGCATAATATTTAGCTAATTTATTTAATAAAAAAAAGGAAGAACTAGTATCAAACATACCGAGTATACAGATTTATTTAATAAGTTCAACTTGTCTCATTTTGTATAATGATTAAGAACACATTTCATACAGTTAGGTGTAGCATCTATATCCATTTCTAATATACTTTATCCAAAAAATATGTCATCTTGAAAAGCAATAGTCAAACTCTACAGATCACTGTAGAGTCTATAATTAATACTGAATAATCCCACATTAACTATCCATTACTGTACATTTAGATAATGAATATTTCAAATAGAAATATGCATATAATGTAAAATCTGTCTGAAAATACTTTTACTTCATTTCTTTCTATATTTTAAAATCATCTTCAATAAAAATCTTTCATAGAGTAAAATAAATGCATAACAAATACTCATATACAATTCAGGCTTTCCACTATGTTTTTTTATGATGTGCTATTGTGGTCTGCTTGTGATTGCTGTCTAACATCATGGAAAACCTTAAGTAAAATTACCAATGAACCATCAGTTTTAATTTGTAAGGTTAATAATAATTTCATCATCTTCAAATTCATTATACAAAGCCAGCAGTGTACAATAACAAAGAATTTTTCTGAGACTTCTATGAAAGCAGTTGTAATTGTTTGAATTTACTGCCAAAGCAAACCATTGTTAGTGGTTACTAAATTGGGCCACAAACAATTATGTACAACTTCCTTGTAAACAAATTAATTTTAAGAAAAGGGGTTTCTAATGCATACTTTTTAGAACAGTAATCAAGATGCATGTTAGCATAAGTTCTAATTATCTTTATTTTAGTACATTCTTAAAATAAAGCAAAGTTTTATTAAACTACAGTTAATATTACTAGCATAACATAACACTATAAACATTCTCTTTCTTAGATGAAGATATTAGAAAGATATCAACACTGACTCTTGGATTAGGTAATTATGTACACATAAAACTTGTGTATTCTACATTGTAATATAACAGTTCCCTGAAAGTTAAACTTTATTTCCTTTTGGACATACAAATGAAAACATTGTTATTTACAATGAATTTAAAATTATGTCCGGACCTCAAATACACAAACTTACCTCTATATGTCTCAAAGTCATTTTCAACTTAAGTTGTCACAGGAAGGTTAGTTCTTGCCACTTCCTGTACGTTATCTTGTGACATCAATACAAATTTCATTTCCAGTATTAACTTTGGTCAAAATATTTATCTCTTTATCAAACTGTCCTCCAGTAATTTTGTGCAATCTGTTCAGAAACGTAACTACCTGAACATCTTTAAATGTCATACTTTGTTTTTGTCATTGTTCAGTACACACGATTGTCAATATTCTTTCCTTTTGTTCTGTTATGCTGCTTTCAGCAGTCTTGCCCTTGATTTTTTATTCATTTGTTTAAACTATAGTTAAACATTTTTAGCTTATTCTTGATTTTAAGACAGCTACTTCTTAATGGTGTCTGTGCTTAGTTTTGTTTGCCTGTAAACTCTTCTCTTTGTTCTATTAATTTTGTTCCCCATTTCTGCTAGTACAATAACTTTAACTAAAAATGTTGATTATTATCGAACATCTTTGGCATTTTTATAATTCTAGTTAACAGTTGTTAAGACTGTTCTTACATGTTTGTCATATTTTTCCATGGATTTTTCTTCCTCTTTCTTTTTTCAGCTAATCCCTTAGCACTCATTTTTTTAACATGTAGTTTTATTTCATTTAAGTTCTTTTGATCTAACAGGTTTAATCCCTATCACATGTTCTTTTCCTTGAAAAAGAAATATTGTACTTTTCTCTTCATTTCCTTTACATTTTTTATTGGCTTGTGAGGAGTATATTTGTGCATACTTCTCAATCCCATAAAGTCTTTTTTATGGCTAATGTTTTAGGTACCTTCGTCTTCTAGCATTTCACTCTGTTAAGGGTTAACCACACTTTTATAAAAATGGTATTTTAGAATCTGTACAGCCCTTGGAACTACTTCCTTCCCTGTAGATAATGCTCAATCAGATGACAATGATTATGCATTATTGTCAAAAATTACAATTACATTGTAAAAACTTCTGTAACGAATGGCAAGGTTGATTTTAAATAACAAACTTTCTACACACACTCTACTGTAACATGTAAGTGGTTGAATTGATCTGCTGTGACTACAGCTACTTCAGCCATCTTTTTTCATGACAATGGCCATTGATTTCAAGTTGTGGCTGAAAGGTTGTACATTTTGAGCTTGTGAGCCTTCATCGACTCTAACCCTTATAATCTTGTTAACCATCTATACACAGGTTCAGTGTATTCAACCAGCCTTGTAACCACCATATAACCATGAAACTATACATACTATAACTCTAACTTTACTAAGTGCATCTTTCCAAAACTTTGCAAGCTTTTATTAAACACTATAAGTCTGTTGTACACAAAAATCAAATTTTTTAATAAAAGTATTTTCACTAAAGATTTGTCAGTGAACTTACACACTTCATACTAAGAATAATTCATCTTGCAATTTTCATATTTTATTGCTAGACTTTCTACTGGGGAAGCAATAAATCACAGCGGAAGCCCATTAGCTTTTTCTTACAAACACCAAAAGCAGAATGCATGATCTCTGCACTCCCATGCAGAACTTTGCTAAGCCTCAATTTTTTTCATGAAGTTGGTTGTTCAAATAATAATCTAAATGGCTTTTAAACATGGATTTTAGAGCACAAAAAAATATATGAGTCATTAGAACAGAATGTCTCCAACTATTGTACTATAATTTATCTTGCTTTCTAACTAAGCTATAAGTACATTAACAAAATTCTGTTAACTGTTCAACCCTTCCCTGACAACATTAAACTGAATAGATTATACTTAAACTGAACACATTCATTTAATCCACATTGCATTACTGAATTCCATGTCTATGAGCTCAGACTGCCCATATTGTAAGTATCCCAAGTTCCTTTTTCAGGCTCACTTTTTTTGTTTCTCTTGGGTTACATTTTTATATCCTTTAGATCCTACTATGTGGTTGGGTATTGTTTCCTCAGGGAATTGTCAACCCTTATTACAACACAATATCTCAGGGTTTACTTGGTGCCATGGGAATATCAACAATCACTGAATCCTTTTTTATATGCATATAACTGTGAATATGGCTTATGTTCTAGCTCTGTGTTTCTGAAGTACAACTTTTCTATTCCTTTGGTTGACATGCCCTTGTACTGCAGTGAAAGGTTCAGGCCTTGCATAAACCTTGGGCTCTTTCATACTTCTTACTTTCTTCCCATATGTTTTTCTTTACATAAGGATTCTTCTAGAGCAGTGATTCCCAAATGGCATGTGGCAAATACGCTTGTGGTGTGCTGTAAAAGGTAACATTTTCCTTACCTAAACATTGATACATGATTCCCTGCACTTCTTCACATGTTTACATGTACAATGCCAGCCTACGACATAATCGTCATAATACTGTAGTCCTTGCCCAACAGGAGGGTGACAGAACCTCCATGTGCACTAATCCCTATGAACACTAGCCACATGGTCATAGGCTCATTCTTGACGAGGCAAACAAAATGCACCAGAAGTGGATAGCAAGTGGTGCAGAGAGTTAAATAACTATCTGAAAGACACTTTCAGGTAAGGAAAATGTTAACTTTAGAAACACTACTTACCTCCCTCTCCACCACTAAAATCTAGAGCCCCACACTGAATATAGTGAACGGGGTCAGTGTTGATCAGTTACAAAGATGAGCACCTTTCTGAAATAGTGACAGAAAGGGAAACTCCATGGGGTGTGACTTTCCCAACACCGGGAGTTGCCTAGTGAAGTATCATCCAGTACAATACCACATCCTTCTCAAACAAGGAATACTCTATGTCGAAGAGTTTCTTTCATGTCACATTTGTTTGCCACTGATAGGTGAGTCAAAGATGGCAAAAAAAACAACAAAAAAACAAGGTTTGATATGTGCATGTTGCCAAGGCAGGCTAAACATCTGAATGTGTAGTGTGGTTATAGCTTTAGGCCGTATCATTTTGGTAAAATCCAGCTGACATATCTGCTAGGAATTGCTCAGTTGTTTTTTTATAGTTAATACAACAACAGGTAAAGGAAGAGTAATTACTGCATCACAAGCCAATGCCTAATTCCATCCAGCTAGATATATTCACCAGGAATAGCTAGGTATATTCTACAGCATGGTGTTATGGACTATACAGCCAGGTTACACCCCAACTATATGTCTCATACGAGATTTGGATCCACTCAGTCCCTTACTAGATGGAAGGCACTGCTCATAGTACCCCAAGATACTAAATGGCTTTGTTAGATGATAGAATGGCTTATTCACTACTGATATTTTTGCATCCTCACCCCCCCCCCCCAAAAAAAAACCTAGATTTTTTAAACTGCACATACTCAGTCACATGTTCTTTGGATCTTCTGGATATATTTCATACAATTTTGTTCAAAAGTAGGACATTATTTCCTCTTTGAAAAGGATGGTGTCACCTGCATACTTTCAAAGTCCTTTATCCTTTAATAACACTGAGATTTTTAACTTAGAGACATATACAGGCAAGTCAATATATTTAAGCTTGATTTTTTTTGCATTAAAATAAATTTAGATTAGGTACTCACCTCTTTATGTCCATACCCTCCCTTTCTCCCCATGTCTGTTTTGAGTCTCAGATGGAATGAGTTTTTAGATTGTTGGTATCAGGTAGGTGTTACTCTAAGCATATGCAGACACATGAATGAAGCCAATTGGTTGAAGAAGTAAACTCTTTCATGGAAGTTAATCCTGTAAATGAGAGTTGAAGTGACGTCACAAAATGACGTCATGGAAGTGGCAGGAGATAGAGGCAAGTACCTATTTGAAACTCACTTTCAACAACAACAAAAAACTTTGCTTAAAATATAAAATTTCTGTATTATAATGTATTTTCACATTTAAAAATATTGAAATAGTTGTTATGATATCTGCTTTTATGAGTAGGCTCACATGCAGCTAAACACCATTTTAGAGTGTCAAAAGTTAGCAATACTCATGGTGCAACACATTATCAACAACATTTACACAAAATATTTCAAACATTATATATCTACAAACAAGTATAATTAAAAAAAAACTTTTTTTTTTTTCCCGATATGCAATTTCTTGTTATTGCAATTAACCTAAGGATCATTCTTGGCAAATTTCATCAATCTCTACATTCCTTAATAATCCAACATCTTCTAAAGGATTGAACCTATATTCAAGTCTCTTTATTCATACAGGTGTCTGTTTATCAATCCACCTACTTAGTTATACACAAACATCTTACTTATCTATCTACATACACACACACACACACACACATACCAAATTAAAAACCACTCGATGCATTTAAATCACATTTAAAACTATCAACCTAAACTTAAGTGATGATTCAGAAATTTGTACCAGTTTCCAGTAAAGTAAAAAAAAGAAAGAAGCACTTTTGGTTTTTATCTAATGAATAACGTAAATTACGTTGGTGTATTTAAGACTTTTTTTTTTATGCATGCACAAACTTATTCTATCTTTAACCTGTAAGGCAGTCTTTAATGCAATATTTTATACTCAAAAAAGTCCTGTCCTCAATTCTTCTCAGGCAACAATATCAAGCATAGATGACAGCAAATGACAACTGAAATATACATATAATAGTGAAAGTTATATAAAAACAGTATAATTTTGAATCACTACCATAAATACACTTGAATATTTCTAATCACATATATATAAAAAATAAACCTAACATGGCTAAGTGAGCATTCAACAACTGATAAAGATAAGACTTCACCTTACCTTAAATTGGGTGGTAGAATATTAAAGACAGTTGCATTAATCAGTAATAAAAAAATTACTTATATGTGGGATAAAATATTGAATTATTTTAAAACATTAATTTTTCTCTAAAATGAAGAGCCCATATTTGTTCAAGTATAAAAAAAAAAATTTTGCCCACATCATAATGCATTTCTTAAAGAAAAGATACTACTGAAAAAATTAACATTCAGTAATACCTAACCATCCCAATTTCTGTACATGAACAGTGCAATACTGAAAATGTTTAAAACATTGCTGTAATTATTTAATGTTTCTACCGTTTGTAAGTTACCTTACTCAGTTAATTGAAATACACAATTTCCTCAGCACAAGAAACTGGCAGTTCAACCATAAATTCTTACCTATCTTTTTACTATAGGCAGGAGCATAACTAACTTGCAACTCTTCCTGTGCTTTAATGTCTCTTTGAGCACTGAAATAAATACTCTCCTCAAACTGGTAAGCAATCAGATTCTGATGAGCAGCATCCTTTGCTGGAGCAACTAAACACATCCAGTTGCAACAGTTCTCATCTGAGTTGTCCAAAAAATCCGATGTTCCGTCTTTGTAAAAAACCTATAAACAAAGTTTAAGTTTGTTTGTTTTTTTTGCTTTCTGTAAGTCACAGTAAGCAAATCAACAATAATATGGAAGAGGTTCTGTTCTCTTAAGACAGTTGGGGGTGTGTGTGGAAAGGTACTCTAAAACCCATAATGGATTTGTGAGTCCAGGGTGTATAAAAAAAATGATTATTTCCTCTGATCTTTTTTCCAACTCTATTACTAATATAATATTAACTTGTCTTTGCAACCTTGTATCAGAACAATTACAATAATTTTACAAAATATAAGATTAAATATTTGCACTTAATGCCACAGCACTCGGAATAATCTTAAAATATGATACAAGATAAATTTTATACAAGCTATTTTGGACTTGACCAGAAAAAATTAGAGTAGTTTACTAAGCAGGTAGGGTCTCTGTCAAATCCATAAAAGCATAAGTAAATTATAGGGATGATTACGGTGTAATCTGCCAAGCATTTTACTGCAATTGGAAAGATTAAAGGCTGTACAGGTGAACAGTTAAACAGTGCTCATTACAGCAGCTTTGGGTGATGATAGTCAGTGATATGACCAGCAATGGTCAACTTAGTAATCCCCATCAGATTTTATTTTGTTTTTTTCTTCTAGTTAGCTAACTCTATCTCTTTTCCTTCTAACTTTTGGCCATTGCTTTGATCTTTCATGCCAATCATTTCTTCTTCTCCATCATGTTTACTGACTATTTTCCTTTTTATTATACTGTTTATCTTTTGCTGATGACTATCATCACATCATCATTTATTCCATCTTTTTTTAGCACATCCTAATAAGTAATAATCAACAGTCACATTCCTCAACCATACTTTTTTCTCAAGCAAGCTGCTGTTTGTTGGTGTTTTGCCATCCTTAAAAACTTTGGAATATGCACAGAAAATTTATCATTAAACTATTTTGCTTTGTACATGTTAGCAGGTAGTCCTGCTGTTGGTACCACAAGTTTCCTATTACTTTGACCCTTCTGCAAACCTAGAGGAAGTGTTTTACTTTGCTTGTTTTTTCCTCACTTGTTTAAAGTTGTTTACCATATTCTTCTTTTGTCTATTGGAAGGAAATCCATTCTTACTGTCTTTTACAAAAGCTGCTTTAAATGCATTGAGACTATTGTGACCTTATTTGGGCTTGATATGCAACTTTTGGGCAACAAGCTCTGCTAAAAAATGAGCACAACTTGCCTACATCATCATCATTGTCATGGGCATGCCATCATGATCACATCCGCACTTTTTAACTTGTAACATCCTCACAAATCAACTTCAAAACTGCTACTTCTGACATTTGTATGGAGTTTTAAACAGCTCACAAAATAGTTTTTGAAGAAAAGCAGTGCATTCTTAGTGAAACCACATTAAAACAACTGATGGCCAGAAGCCAATTTTTAGCAAAAAATTGCTCTTACTAAATCTACAAAAGTCAACTTATCTTCAAAAGTACTTATCTCTTTTGGGATTTCCCTGTATTATTCAATTTATCATAAAAATAAGTTGTATTCTGACAAATTTGCAGGAAATACAGCAAAATCTTAGCCTCAACTAGCTGAGAGTGGTTTAGCAAATACACTTTAATTAAGTCAGAGAATGCTTTATTAAAGTCACAATATTACAACCCCATTTTAAATTACTGAACCAGGTTTTCAGAGTAATTAAAGTATGTAAGATAAATTTATAATTTTCAGAACTAAAACTACTTCCTATGTCTTTACTAAATACAAGCTCATCTTCAGTAATAAAATCAAAACACATTTTCTTGTTTCCAATTTTCTTTTTTCATTAGATTTATATACAATTTGTTTTTTTTTGTATTACACCAAAGCCACATAGGCTCTCTGCTATGTCCACCTCAGGAAATCAAACCCCAGATTTGAGCATCGTAAGTCTGCAGACTTACAGCTGTCCCACCAGGGAGACAATTTATATACAAAACAAGGATAACATAAATGATTTCCACCTTTTAAATACAGAGTAAAAATATTTCTGACTTCCCCATTAGACTACAATTAGTACTGATATCATCTTGAAGGAAAAGAAAACACTCAAAGTTGGCCTAACTAAATACATGAGAAACTAACTTTAAAAAAAAAGTTTGGTATTTTCTCTAGAAGTGGAGTTCTTGGAGCTTCCATTGGTCCAAACTGAGATTTAAATGAAATGAGTGTTTTTGCAAATATTCTTGGAATACCATCATCCAAGTCAATCACCTCTAGGTTGTAAGGAATTGTAAGTCTTGCTCGTGATGGAACACATTTGTCCTTTACTTTGGCACAAGCATCCAAAAGAGGACATTCTGATGTATAGTGATGTCTTCCACAGACATCACAATCTGAAAAAAAAATTGATATATATATATATAAATCCACACCAAATATACAACTAAAGTTTTCATTCATGAAAAATTCAGTTTTTATAATAATCACACTCCCTAAAATTGTAAATGAACAATTTTGATATTCATGTTTACAAACAATATACAAATATTACATTGTTGATACCACTGTCCTAACTATTACCATTCATTACTGTTCCTGGTAAGTTTCAAAAACTCTGTTTAATTATTGTTCTATAAAAGTTATGAAAGCATATTCATCAACAACCATACTTCACATCAATTTGATACAGTTTCAGTATATATACACATACATCTGTAGCCCTAAACCACCATTTACCACTCAACATGGTACATCCTGTACCAAGGATGTGAAATAGTTATGCACATGCAGACAGTGTGCCCCAAAGGATTTGGTCAGAACCTAAAGATTTTACTGTAGATTTGACAGTAAAATATTCCCATGTCAGTTATCTCCCACCATACATTTCAGTAAATTGCGAAGTATTATTACCAACAAAATGTCTTCTTCGAGTTTAAAGCCAGTTCTGTCTGAATACTGCACCAATGTATGTGAACAAAAAAAAAGTATCTTAAGCATGCTATTTCTGATTCCAGCATTAGAGTCACTGAGATGTGTGTTGTAGTGAAACTATGAGATAGAAGTACATAACTGTACATCCACTGGAGACTAATTTAGAACACACTTTGGTCAATTACACCCTGTCTACCCTTAGTACAAGAGGATTTCCAGAAGATCTGGAACCCGTGTTACCCAATTTGTAAAGCAAACAACAAGTACTTCTTTCTACTGCAATATCAGGAAAATCTAATTTTTGGTCAATTTTGGAAAATTTCAAAAGCCTTGGTAGTTTCGACGAAAAAATAATTTTTTTGAAATATAAAAAAATGTGCATATTTTAAATCAACATTGACCGTACAATACCGGTCAGGGTTTATTTCGTAGAAAAACTCTAAATTCAAACACTGTCTACCCTTAGTACAAGAGGATTTCCAGAAGATCTGGAACCCGTGTTACCCTGTCCTTTAAAATATTCCTCTTTCTTTCTTCTGTGTAATTCTAATTGTTCAACCTAGGTACAAGAAATATGTCTACGATCGTGTTAAGTAATTTCAGCCACTCTGACAGAGAAACTGACAATTTTTACAAGTAACAAATTATTACTGTTTTTAAGAGTACACATACATGTGCCAATTTCTAGTTTAGATATATCACAGGCTTTACATATACCTCTATAAAGTAATTAGTTAATTTTTTTTCTAACTTCAATTACTGTCAAAAGAGTAAAGTGAACAGATGGTATATATAACCATATTAGTGGCTCTCAGGGTATTACTGTCACAATAATTACAGTTTTGTTAATCCAGCAGTTCTGAATGATTTCTTTCTGGGTAGTTAATGTGGTCTTTCCACATGATACAACTGTCAAGAGCAAACTATACATCTCTAATGTAACTGGCATCACTCCATTGAACATTTTATGGAATGTTGAAATTTGAAATCAACTTAATATTTTTTTGTTATTGATTGTGCTGTTAAATACAATTTAATGACATGTATTTAACTTTTATGTAATATTTATCATCAATAATAATAAATTGTCTCCATTGATAAACACTCCCAACTTTTCAAAAATGTAACAATTTGGTAAGTTAATAGTGGTTCAAGTGTTAAATCCTGAAATATGCCAAAATTTATTATAAAAGTTGTGTTATAGTGATGTTAATATGGTATAATGATGTCTTTTCAAATAATTCTTTAAACAAATTTTACAGTTCACCCTGACAACATAATGCACATTGAATCAAATTAATGGTTCTGGTTAGGTCAATAAGACAAATGGCACATTTAGATTGTTGTCAAGCCCTTCAACTGTTAATTTCTGGAGGTGAGAGACATACACCTTGCTTCATGTGAAATAAAACAAGCTTTATTTTAACTGTCTGAAAATACGTATTATAAAATCTACAAACATATATTAACCCTCCATACGTCAGCTTCCATCTTATTTATACTACTTTAGATGAATCTGCCAAAAAACAAAAGCATTGTGTTTAACTGATTATATATGTAGGTAACTGAAAACAAAAAGCCACTCAACAACTGAAAGACAAGATTTTCCCTACCTGAAAGAACTGCACATAGTAACACGTACTGTACATCTACGTTACAACATCAGACTAACCCCCTTCACCAAAAAGAGAGTGATACAACATCATTGTGCAGTACTCCCCTTGAGCACTCTGTGTAAACCAGTAAACCAAAAACTCACTCCTGATGAGACAAATACGTTAAATAAAGACTTGAAAATATTTGAATGATAAGGGCTGGCTTTGAGGGTTTTTCTTTTCTAATAGTTTAATTAGTGGATGGGAAAGCCTAGATGAACCAACAGATACCTTGGTGTACTTAAATGTTAAATTAATTGATGACAACTAAGGTTGCTCATTGACTCTTTATATAATTTTTCAAACTGCTTGTAGAACATTTTAAACATTTCCAGAACATTCTGGAAATAGAGCTCCATAACTTTCCTGCACAGTTCATGCAAAAGATTACATCACAGATATAGAACACGATCGGAAGCAAATGCACCACAGGTGATATAAGGAATTACAAACAGAAATTCAAACACTTGTAATGCACAACACGAGACTGGAACAATGACGACTTTCAGTTAAAAAGGGTTATAATAATGAGGAAGGAAGAAACATTTAATGTGTAGCAGGGTGTAAATGCACCCCAGAGTACACAGAGAGGTAATAATTATAACTAACTTTTATAGATATTTCGTTCACCACACTGTGTACAAGTGCTCAAACCTAAAAACGAAAAATTCCATTCATACATTCTTATGTACAAGTATTGTACGAATAAAAAGAAGCTGTAATTTCCATGCACTTGCCTTATAATTGAAGTAAGTATGTGAACGTCAAAAACGATATTTATAACAAACAACATTACAAATGCCATGGTACTATGTCCTACATCATGTTCGACTCAAGTTTAAACTATTTTAATTTTATGTAAATATTTCAGTTCTGAAAAGCATGTATTTATGCTTACAATACTGCAGCACTTGATAACCAAAGCTTAACCTTAAGTTGAACAAACATGATTTATGATAAACGGTTCGGCATACCTTCGGATACTGTGTTGTCACTATCAGACTTCGTCTTAAACATTTTTCTTAATCAGTACATGTTACTAGCAACGGCCCAGGATATTCTTTCGTTTAGGAAATTAGACATAAGTTAATTTCCTGTGTCGAGTCTGCCTGTAAATAATAGATTTGACTAATCATCGTTATTGAAGACGCAATTTTTACAATGAAAATTTTATTAGAACTAATAAAAGTTACCAGTACTTCTAATGTTAGTGCGGTAGTAGTACTAGTACCATAAAGTGATAAACACTAGTAATACTAATAGTATACCATACCCTACAGGAACTACGAGTTAGTTACAAGAATACCCTACATTAATATTACGATACTTAATGTTGATATTTTACAAATATTATTAGCATTACCTAGTATAAACTACACTAGTTGCCAATAAATTTTTCTATATCAATATTAACATGTTAATATATAAAATAATCTACTTTATGTAATGTAATCAACAACCAGAGTTGCCATCATACATTTTAACTGTAACTTTAACGCCTTGCCTAAAACCTCTGGAAAATCAACTAGTAATCCTAAACTAATTCCTGAAGCTACTATAATATATTCAAAACACCTTTAACAAAATAGTGCATTTTCTTTGTTTTACCAATGTGGTTAATTATCATGATCAAATATTTTAAAAGTGAATTGGTTTATTCTTGAATTTCGTACAAAGCTACTCGACGGCTACCTGAGATAGCCGTCCCTAATCTCTAGTAATTTAAAAGCGATTGACGATAGAAAAAGGGGCTTGTCAGTGCCACCCATTGTCAACTCTTGTGTTATTATTTACGAACAACTAGTGGGATTGACCATCACATATAACCTTCCCACGGCTGAAAGGACGAGCATGTTCGGTGGTGGGATTCGAACCGGTGATCTACAGATTGCGAGTCGAATGCCCTAACCACCAAGCCATGCCAAATTGAATAGATCAATTTAAGAAATGACGCGAATTACTCAAAATATTCAGTTAACTGTAAATACTTCAGTAGGCTATTTTGAACCCTATTTGCAAGTGTGATCATATATGCAGAAAACCTAGTTTGCTGTGGATTAAAAGTTTGTTTGCTACTAAACGCAAAGCTACACATTGTGCTGCCTGTGCTGTGCCCATCACAAGTATCGAAACGTAGTTTTTAGCTTTATAAGACTTGGAGATTTACCGCTGAGCCATTGGAGAACTGAATTATAAGAAGTAAATGTTAAAAAAAATATTGTTGTAAGCTATATTGCAATTTGTAAGCTAGCTAGAGGGCGCATGGTGTTATGATAACCCTAGAATACCTAGAAAGTTCTAAAAACAATGCTATAAAACTGATGTAAGAAGTGGGATGGTAAAAATAAAACAAAAACTTGAATATACCAGAATTTTTACTTCTATTGTGGAAAATGATCACCACGAGATCAACTAGTGAGAGCGAAGCACTATTTGAGATGGTGAAAATATTAAGACAAGGTCAGGAGGAGTGACACAGAAACTGAAGTAGCATGACAGAAAATTAAAATATCTAAAAGAAATTTATAGGAAATTGGAAGATTATCATGAAGAATATGACAGATATTAATTTCAAGAAAGAAGTTAAAAGTAAGAGATGTAACATTTAAAGAAATATTAAATGTATAAATAAATCCAGGGCTGACGAGAGGGGGCAAGGAGGCAGTTGCTTCAGGGCCCGGAGTCCAAAGCTCACTAGAGATGCATACTACTTAATGAGTTAAAATGGCTACTGCTTTTTCGTGGATTCGTGAAAAAATTGTCACCAAAATTTCTTTTGTGTAAAATCAGCAAAAGTTAGGAAATAGATTGAAGGGGGGCGATGATATTACTGACCCCAGGGCCTGTGCTGGCTCTCGATGCCTCTAAATAAATCTGATTGATGAAGCTACAGGGGATGTATTTAAGGATTATAACAACAAGTTTGAAGAAATGTAGAAGGACATCAACAATGTCAAAAATGAAGTAGAAAAGAGCATCATTTAAGTAGAAAATAACATTGGTGACAAAATAAAACTCTGAAAAATGAATTATTAAATAGAAAGATTAGGTCAGACACACCTCTTTCTTTATCAGCTCAAGAGTTCTAACCTAAAACACAATCTACTACAAGATATAGAACAGTTGAACTTAACTTATTTGGTGGTCTATACCTATTACTACTACCGCTGTGCCCCCTGTTACTTAAAGGCTTTTCTGGGTTACTCCAGCCATGACACTACCAAATCCAGTTCCAACATTTATCTGGCTAGTTCAACATCAACTGATAAAGAAACAAACACAGTATGATGGGAATGTACCGTGGGAGTGATACTTAGCTTAGAATATAATAATTTCTAGAGTGATCAAGTGGAATAGTCAACAACTATCAATACATCTTACTGCTAATTTAAAAGGACCAGCTTTTACAACATTAGGTAACCTTTCAGCTGAGAGCCATAATAATTATCAATCATTGGTAGCCACCTTATCCAACAAGCTAGGAGTGTCACACCAGAAAAAAGTATTCAGATTAATGCTCCAGAACAGGGTAAAGAGAGAAAAAGACACCTCAGCCAAACTTGCAGAAGATTTGAAAAGTCTTGCCCATACGAGGATATGAGAATTGGGCTGAAGCAAAGTAGTTGTACATATTTTAAAGAAGCTATGCAGTTAGCAATGGAACTAGAATCCATTAAAGTTGCAAATCAAGAAGTGTTGAAACATCAACTCCTACTGATAACAGTCTAAAAGAACTGAAAAAGTAATCAGATGGCTAGATAAACAAAACAGAAGAAATGTACCAAAAGAATATATGTTTCGAGTGTAACTTGAAGGAACATATTGACAGGAATTTCAGGCAAAGGTCTGTATGGAACAAGAGCTATAAAAGGACTCTAGAAAGAGATAACTGTTATAACTGTGGGAAATCTGGCCATTACAGACAATATTGTAAGGAATCAATAGCTGTTATCAGGTCAAGGAGACAGAGCCTAACCACACAAAAAGGATTATACAAAACTAACAAAACATCAGAAACACAGGAATTAGTTGGAGTTGTGATGTAAAGTTCAGCTGGAAATACTCCATCTACCACAAATGAAGCTCATTATTTGAAGAAAATCGTCCACTAATCCACGGATTTATTTATGGAAAACTTCGCAGTATGCTAATTGACACTGGTTCCACAGCTGTAATTGTTCATTCTGATTTGTTAATGAAAGATGAAAAATTGCTTCCAGAAATGATAAAAGAAGAGGGATCAATGTAAAGAACAAGTTGACATAAGATTCTATTAAAAAGGAAGTTGGAAATTACCATTATTATAGGAAGCTTCTCTGTACATCATGATGTATGGATAACTGACATCGAGAAATAATGTACATAGGAAATGATTTCATGAGGAGGCATAGATTCGAGATCAGACTTACATCAGATAGCTGCACAGTCAATAATCAGGAAATCTTGATGCACCACAAAGCAATTACTATATCAGAGGTTGAACTTCTGGAATTGTGGTCATTGCACTTCCATGGAGTGAAATATTCAGACCAGGAGTTATTAGCAATAATTCTTCATCTAGCGACTGGGGCAAAGTTTGTCATTGGCAGTTGGAAGACTCGTAGATATGAAGAATAAGGATGACATGACTTCGCAGAGGAGAAACTTAAATCCACTGTACAGAAAACGAAAGGTGACTATGATTTTAATGCTGATAAATCTGGATTTCAGTGAAGTGACAAGATATGGCTGAACAGTTCTTGTCACAAGAGACTACAAACTCCAAAGTTATGAAGGTGTTCGGAAAATAGACATTCCATGTCGAAGATCATGGAGGAGTAGTGTATATTTGGAACTGACTTCATGAAGAGACATAGATTCGAGATCAGCCTAACTTAATATAGTTTTACAGTCATAAACCAGGAAATCCTGATGTACTTAGCAGTTACTACATCAACTGATATAGAAACTAACACATAATGATGGGAAGATACCATGGTAATCATACCAAACTCAGAACAAAATCATTTCTAGAGTGATCAGGTGGAATAGCGAACAACTAGCCATACTTCTTACTGCCCATTTAAAACGAACAGCTTTAAAAATATTAGGTAAACTTCCAGCTGAGAACCATAGCAACTAGCGAGCCCTAAGACTGCTTTTAGCATGAAAGATGTGTCTTGTATGAGTTTCACATCATGTCATTTAACCTGTATAATGGGCCTGTTGCTTTTGCAGGGTTGGTTAGATTTACACCAAAGAAGTTGCAATGAGAGAGATACCTTATCTATGTCAAAGATGTTTTATGTTTGAGACAGTGGCTAAAAACCTGAGAATGATATTCAGCAGATAAAGAAAGTAAGTTTGTTTGCTGTTAAGCACAAAGCTACACGATGGGCTCTCTATGCTGTGTCCATCACTCGAACCGAAACTGGTTTTTATAGTTTTAAGCCTTCAGACTTATTGCTGAGTCACTGGGTGGGGGACAAGTAGGCGTGAAACTGAAACCAGGAAAATGTGTGCTTCTGCATAAAGAAGTAGAGTTTCTTTGTCATATTATCGGTAAAGGTAGAGTCTCTACAGACCATACTAAAATAGAAGCAGTGAGATACTGGCTTCAATGTGTGACTAAGTGAGAAGTCTTCGGTTTTTTTAGTATTGTGTCGTATTACTGATGGTTTGTGACCAACATCTCCAAGATAGTAATACCACTGTCTGCTATCACTAAAATTGAGACGCACATTGTATGGAATGAGAAATTTGAACGGGCATTCCAATCTCTAAAGCTTGCTTTATTGGAGTCTTCACTGCTGGCATATTCATGACAAGAAAACAAGTTCCTATTGGACACTGATGTCATTTATAATGGAACTGGAGTAGTCGCAGGACGAGGTAAAGCATGTAATCGTGTATGCTAGTTGTATTCTCATGGCTCCTGAAGGTAGATACTGTACAATTAAAAACGAGCTGTTTCTGTTTGTTATCTTCATAAAACACTATCACTACTACTTGTATCACAAGAGTTTCACAATTCAGGTGTACCATGCGTGCTTCACTGAAATTATTAACGAATTTTACATGTCTGAGACTATAGCATGTTAGATAACAGCATTGCAAGAATATGACTTTGTGATAGATTGTAAAGCTAACCAAAGGTTTTAAAAATAAATCAGAGATACGTGCTTTTGGAGCATGTGTAGACTTTCACATATAGGAAATTCGCCTGGTGAAGGACTGTGTGACACACTTAGGTATTTGTAGATGTTTATCACATACTATGTTGATAGAAATTTATCATCTTCTTGTTTAAGCTTAGAAATGCCTGGAAGTTAAACTCTCCCTACTTTCACCTGGAGCAACCAATGGCATGAGTAATGCCTGCACTCTGCAAGAGACTACTTTATTTTATTGTGTGTATGCATATGTCATACTCTCTCAGTCAGAATTTTGCAGTACTACGCTTACTCGCAGAAAATCAGTGAACCTAAAAATACCACACAGGGTTAAAGCTCCTACAGAAAATAGTGAATGAACAATATAAAGTTACACAGTGCGGAAATCAAATAACAAATTTAAAATTTTCTAAAACAGCCATTCATAAAATAATATTATAGATAGGAATATGAGAAATGATGTTTCCACAAAAACAGTAATACAGCTTAATATTGCATTTTTAATCAATCTGATTGTTGCATTTTGTTTGCTCTTCTTTCTTTCATTGCTGTTAAGTGCAAAGCTGAACAATGGGCTATATTTGATATGCCAATCTCAGGTATCAAAACCCGATTTTAAGCGTTATAACTTCTCAGATTTACCATTGAGTTACTGGGTGAGCCACTTTGTTTGTGTCAGAACTTAAAATATAATTGTTTTCGCCAATTATCAAAATAAAAGGCCTTTACTTATACTTCTTAATAGTATAAATATATAATATGTTGTTATTGGGCTTAGGATTCTTCTACAGTAGGGTCTATGATTTGTTTACAATAAAATCAACGATAAATGAACAGCACGCACTTCACTTGTTTTCAAAATAATATTGTTACGTCTCTGTAAATTTGTTTGTTAATTTTTCTGTGATAAAAGTCCTTTCTTAAATAAAACTAGTTTATTCTTCCTCAATACAACTTTGCAATACACTTAATTTCCACAGTTACTTTAATTTAAACACACGCTATAATTCACAACAATTCACTCACTTTACTACCGCGCTTGACTCAATTGTCCATTTCTATATACGCCTATCAGCAACTATAGTTCCGACCTCTGTATCTGCTATTCTCGGTTCCCACCGACCATAACTGCTGTCCTTGGTTCCCCGCTCTCCCTCTCTCTCCTTTGTCTAGCGCACTTATATACGATAATACCGCCCGCGTAGCCTCTTCGAGAATCTTCTAGACACTCATCACGTGCTACCACAGTCACTTGACTTCCGCTGTCGTAACACACAAGCGTTTTTCGCGAATCTTCTAGATATTCATTACGTGTTACCAACGTCACATGACTTCCGCTGTCGTAACAATATATATATCCGAAAAAAGTTAAACGTATGTACAACAAAGTCTTCACACTATAGAGGTTATTGGGCTTATCATAAACACCATATATATATAGTTATCTTGTTTTTGTCAAAAGTCCACTTAGGCGTATTTAATTGCTTTAGAATTTCAGTTTACAAGCCGAACTATATTCTCTATTACTATCGCATTAGTATTCTGTGTGTGATTCACTTACAATTGTGGCGAGAGTTACCGTTATCGTTTGGTATTCTTTATTCTAAATATCCTCTGTTCCTTTTGTCAAAATACACTCAGGCTGATTCAATCACTTTAGAACCACGCTTTGACGGAATAAATTATTTTTCTTAACTCCTTTTCTACTGTTAGGCTTACTATAACATATTAAACGTTAGGCTTATCACTTCTACGATAGTTAGCATCACGCCGAACTTTTCCTTATCCGTAACTTCACGGTCTGTTGCTATTATTTGTCTACTGTTTTCGCTCATCTCACACTATTTATATTTTTATCACTTAGTCGTCTGACCACCTACTAGAAATTTCTATATTCTCGACGTCAATGTGTTGCACTTTAT